TATTATTATATACTTGAGATATATTGCCTGCTATATAAGAGCGGTGCCTAATGTAAAACCTTAACAGAGTTAAGATATCAGAGTTAGAGTAGAGTCTGAAGTGTAGACCCAACTGAGGGCTACGGCCTTCAGTCTTAATCAATAAAACCGAGACATTGTTATCGTTAAATGTGTTTCCAGTGTTGAGTAGTTCCGAGAAAAAGATTCCACTGACGGGGGTTTGGCGGACACTAGCCATGTCTGCATAGTCCGACCTCCCGGTCAGTTCAAATATTTAAATATCTTACGATTGTTTGACGAAAAAATTAGCCTGGTCAAAATTAACAGGCACTATGCAAAATACGCTGAACATTATATGAATGATACCCTAGATTATTTGATGGACACCGATGAATACCGATGACACCGATGAATACCCTGGATAATTTTTCTACGTATTTGAAATATATTGCTACGGCCACCGGTGGTTTAACCGTTTTAAAACTAGCGTTTTTCACCTACTCTAGTTTTGTCGATAATGTCTATATATTTACCGCGGTGTTTATGGTGATTTTTCTCACCTTGTTTACATACATTACTGTTATAAATAAATTAGTTAATAGTAAATGCATATATAAAACAAATATTATTAAAAAGATTTTAATGTGGAAAGCTGAGTTTAATGATAATCGTAATGTGAATATTATCAATCTGAATCTCGCATTTTAATTAATTTGACGTAGGTTGAAAATCCGTTGTTTGCATAATTTATGACAAATAAGTGTGATATATTCTGTAATTAATTTTATGTCAATTAATTAGTTTTAATATAATTTAAGTTTTATTATTATTAAATAGTAGAAATGTAATTAATTATTATGTCTAACTTATATAACTTATTATTTTTTAAACTTTTAAAATACTGTACATTTTATACTGTAATAATAATACGATTAATTAACAATGCATCAGCTTTTCCATAAATTTATGATGTACAAAAAAACATGAATGTTAAATTATTTATAAAGTTACATGATAAATACCGATAGTTAAATCTTAGAAAATTTTGTATTTAAAAATGATAAATATCTACTTTAAGGTTCTGGCAACAGGTAATTTACATATAATTTAACATTTTACTTAATGCACAATATTTAATACATTAATTATTAAATATAATAAGATTATTACATAGGATTACTGTTATGTTGAAAGGATATTAAGGTTCATGCAGTATAACCCATAGGGATTGTAGTTTGTCTAAATCTCTATTTAAACCCTAATTATACTTTTACTTAATCTTACACAACTGTAAACAACTAATAGTAGTATAGTTAAATGTATATGGGAAAATAAAATGCATAACAATGAATTAGGTAAATATTTTTCATTTACCGTTTTGTTGTGTACGGATACAATTGTAAAAATACAGTTATATAATCTAGATTTATTTTTCAAACCTTTTAAAAGATCAAGATCTTGATAATAATTATGTAATGTTTTTATAAGTGTTTATGTAATTATGTTTTGCAGAGTATATGCTATACACGTGTTATGCATTAACAAAACTATTATTGTTCAAATGCAGATTGATATAAATTCCTAAATGTATTTTTAATACCAATTTGTTCAAGTGTACTTTTTTTGTTAAAGGTGATTTACTACTGAAGTATTTATTTGATATTTCCTCAAAATAAAGCTCGTGGAAAAATAATAACTAATTTATTTTTTTGTGTTTACTTTTGTTATTAAACTAAAAGTGTAGCCTAACAGGGAAATTCATTGTACCATGCTTTATATGTTATGTAATCCTATATCAAAAATAGCTAATCAGATTAGTCGTATATTAAAGTGTAACATGTTATATACTATATACATAATTCCCAAAATAAGTGATTTAATATATATAGTTTCCAATTAAATAAGTACTTAAATATACACTTATTGAAAGTATTATATAATATGTTATATCCATAACATGTTTACACTGCAGACTTGGTTAACATTTTAGTCGCTATAAATAGTATTGAATCGCAACAACAAAACAACAAATCAGTGAATACAATATGACTTATAATTATTTATATAAATTATTAATTTTCATAAATTTTACATTTTAACTTTTAAAAAAATTAATTTACCTAATTAATAATTGTGACAATGTTTGAATATATTCTCATACCATACGGTATCAGTAATGTTAACAACACAAACACTGCAGTCATACGTAACAGTGATGAAATTACTACCAAGAAACATTATATTAAAAACACCTTGCTCAGAAATAAATCCATACATAACGTTATCACTGGGATCGTTGTAACCACATTTACCGCGTTCATCATGATCTTATTGCTGTCAATTAACACGGCCGAGCCCTACATCACCATGCTCATCAAGCTAGTATTTTTTACCCTGGCCAGCGCGTGCTTAGTATCCTACTTATTAATATACCAAAACTCAAGCACCATGTTTGAAATACACGCCGAACTCAACACGTTGTATTCCCGGTACGGCATACCCGGCCGTAACCGGTCAGCCATGGTATACGTCGGGCTACATATGCTGTGCTATATATCGGGCGCGTTATGTGTTTTCTACGACAACGTGATCGATCGCTTTTTCAAGATCAGCTCGTTCAATTTATTATTTAGCCACCACGCCGCGTTATCCCTATTTTATACATTTGGCTGGATTACCATGCTACAACACCTGTACTTTGAGCTATGTTACAAGTATCTAAACGTGCTAGATCATATGCTCGGCCGTATGAGGGCTTTGCGTTGTATGCCCAGCACCGAACACCTGTTTGATATGACCCAGATTATTGAGAATTTTGTCATAGATGATCAAGTATTGGGTATGTTTGTGCGTAAATATCGCGTTTTTATCATGATCAATGTCATAACGTCCAGTATTGTAGAGCTGTATTTTGTGTACGAACTGTATGCCAATGATAATTATTTAACAAGCTCACTCATTGTGGTAATTTGTGTCTCGGTGTTGATTTATAGTCTCATCATTCAGGTAATTATATTTAACAAACAAAAGGTTAAATGTAAAATTATTTATACGTTACGGTTATGGAAGTTGTGTATAATGCAGTATAAAAGCCATAGACATAACGGGGCTAAAACTCATCAGTTTTGAATTCATTAATTATTTTATTTTATTTGTTGATTTATAAACTATCAAACACAATTATATTTAAATATTGACTATAACATTTTAATAAATGTTTTTGTTTTTTGTATTGTTTATTGTATAACAATGATAGTGGAATATAATCCTTAATATTAAATATTTATTATTTAGGTCATAGTAAATGAGTGTCTTGTAAAATTTTTAATTTTATTCAAACTACATACAAAATAATAATTGTCTAATTTTCTTATTTTATACGCAAATATAGCAGTTTAAAAATAATATACTTTTTCAAATAAAAAATTCTTTAATATAAAAATATTATATAATGCTCAATACGGTATTACCATTTATACATGTAAAGCATTTATATAAAGCACATATAAAAATGTATTGACTAAATAAAATCAATAATACTACGGTTTATTCACTATGTAATTGTCTACATAGATTTAAAATTAAACTAAAATGATGAACGCACAGGTATGCTATACTTAAAACATCATCAATTAATAAGTTTTATTAGTAAATTTTTAATTTAACTAATATTAGTTTAACAATCATGATATAGAGTAATTATTTTATGATAGATAATGTTGTAAATATGTTATTTAATTAATATGCTGTACCTAACAACATGTACACATCTTGGTTACCCACTTAATCTTACAAGTGCATACAAGTTTTCTAATTGAAAATTTGAATATAACTTTTGTGCATACATGTAATTTCCGTAAAATATACATTTTGAATATAATCTTTGCAAACAATTAATGTAATTGACGTGATAAAATTCTGCGCTGTATTTTGTCATTGTTAGTATTTGTAAAGTATAAATATAATGACAAACAACTAGCCTTATACATTTTAAGCGTAATTCTCCAACAGATTAGATGTGTATTTGACATATTCATAATGATGGAAAATATGTTGGTTAAAAAACAACAGTAATATTTATGTAAATGATTTTTGTATATTATTTGATATAATTATTTACAAATGGATATAAATATATTTAATTTGTATTTGTATTTAATAATTTGTATTTTTAAGCACTTTATATTATAATGGTAAATATAATTTTTAATTCTGATTTACTTTTTAATTCAAATTTTAAATCTTTATAATTAATTTATAATATTTCAAAATTTTATTATTACTTTATAAATTTTATTATTACAATATCATGTTGTTTACATTTTTATACGTAATTTTATATTATTATAATTGTTCAACATAATTAAATTGCATGATCATGTTTGATTATTTGCTATTTATATACGGAATTAATTGTAAAAACAAAATCATAGGACAAATAATCACCGGCATTATAATCACTACATTTACTGTATTAATACTCACCATAATATACACATTATTATACAACAACAACAATAACACATACGAATTAGTACAAAAAGCATTATGCTTAACATACATTGTCACCCAGCTAATCTCATACATGTACATACGCTTTATGTCAATTAATATAACAGATATCAATTCTGAGCTTGATCAATTCTGCCATAAATATAATTACCCCAAAAATGACCAACCAGCATTTTTCAGCTACATAATATTGCATATACTATTGCAATTAGCTAGCACATACGCCCTATTTAAAGATCATACAGTAACTACATCCTACATGGACCTGGCTGACCTGGATATATTTGTTTATCATCATGCCACCTTGTCGCTATTCTACTTAAATGGTTGGCGATTGTTTACCCAGCAGTTATATTACCAAGTTTACGTCAAATACTTAAGAATACTGGATGGTTATTCTAACAAGGTGTTGGCCATAAGTAAACAACCTGGCTTAAATGTCGTGACAAGTATCACCGAGTGTATTGATTATTTTAAGCATAATGAAATTGTATTACAATATTCTGTGTATTCTGTAAAGTATTTTATTTATGTTATTTGCATAACAAGTAATTCAATGGAAGTGTTGTTTATCTATTCAGCTTATATTAATGCCAATTATGTTTTACTAGCTATTTATTTGTTTGTATTTGCAGTGACAATCGTTTATACTGTTTATTTGAATGTTCAAATTGTCAGCAGACAAGGTATTAAAGTAAAAATAATTAATCAATTAATGTATTGGCGAGAAGATATAGTTGATCTAAAAATAAAAGTTTAATTGAACTTGATTTAAAGCTCAATAGTATTTGTTATACATGTGTATTATATAAATATAAATCCTAATTAACATTGTTCAAGTGCTTTGTCTAAACCAAATTAAATATTTATTATTATAGGATTTAATATCTCATTTATATTCAAAAATATATGTTTTAAATTAATCCAAAGATATATTACAATGTAAAATGTTTACATAAAATAACCATTGTAGTGTTTACTTATATTATTAGTAACTTAAAAATAAAACAAATTATTTGTGTGAATAAATTATCTTGTTTGTTATTTAAAATTTTATAACTTCAAAAAATTATTACTATAATAATATAAAATAATATCTATTAATCATTAAATGAACGATATGCATAATTTATAAATAGTGACCATGATAACATTTTCTCAGTTATCCAGTAATTTTCCAAATTGGCTGCGTGTAATTAAATAAGCATAAATTGATAAAAAATATGTTTATCGTGATCATTAAATTCTGATAAAGGCTACATAAGTGTAAGTTATATTTGGAATTTATTAAATGTTTTAATCTTACTACTAATTTGATAAACATTTTCCAAATTAACATATTATTGCAATTACTTGACCAAAATAATCTAGATAAACTTCAAGTATAATACAGTACATAGTGTGTAAAGACCAATATTAATCGCTAAACAAATAATAAATGCCAAAATATCCCAAAATTACATTCAAATATTTATTATTCACTCGGATTTCAGTTATAAAAAGCTGTTAAAATGTTTCAAAACCAAAAGTAAAGTGTGTTTCGCTTTTATTACATTAAAAACATATAAAGACATTAAAAATTAATTAACCAAAAATGAAGTCCAATTTAATTATATTAAGCATTTGCTTAATTGTGATCATGTCTATCACGAGTGCTTTCGGCCAGTATTTTGGTAAATAAACATTTCCAATTAAAACTAACTAAAACCATTAATTAAAACTCACCATGTTACATTAAATTTGTTAACATGCTAGGTTATGGAGGACCAGGTTACGATGACGGATACGGTGATGGTTATGTGCGACCTGATATTGGTTAGTAGTCCCAGATTAACTAAACTTTATATAAATTAAATTATAATAATACTTATATTAACACCTAGGTCGATTTGGTTACGGTGGACCCCATGGCCACCACCATCACCATCAGCACCAACAACACCGCCGACAACAGGCCTACAGCCACAGCAGTCACAGCCAAAGCTCCGGCTATAACTACGACGGCGGCGATTGGGACGCGTCTGATGAGGACAAATAGCGGGAGTAGACTGTACTTTAGGATTAGATTTAATTTTTTAAAATAATTATTCAAACATTTTATGTTAGTTTTTATTATAGTTTTAATGGAAACAACTTTGAGTTTTGATTTTATAACTTTGTAAAGTTTATAACTTTCTATTTTATGATGATACAACGAATGAAATAAAATTTTTATTATTTATATTACAGCATGTTTTATTTATATTTATTTTAATTAAGTAATTACTAATTTGGTGATTATTTTATTCAAGTTAATAACAAGATATTAATTTTTTATTATATAAAAAAAATAAAATATAAATTTTTTGTTTCATTTAAAAGTTTGAGAGAGAGAGAGAGAGAGAGAGAGAATGTTTAATATGCTTGTACTTATGAGCCTAATGTAAATCCATATGAAAATATACTGTATCTTAACATAATAACTATTATATTTTAATACCCATCTAATAG